GACGGATGATTCGAGATACAAGCAGCTGTTAGTGACTTAAAATGGTCTCATATTTCCCATTATATTTAAATCTAGTAAAACGGTAAACTCCACTCTGGTCGAAAAAGAAATATGCCAAGTTATTCAAATGTCGAAATAATAAAAATTAATATTTAGTTAATGATAAAGAATTCAATATGTTTATGTCATATCATAAGAACAAGAAAACATTTTTTTTTTTGTGAAGAACAAAGTTAAAAATCTTAATGAACAATTTAACTTGAATAATGCATACGCGTCATATCTATTTTTTTCGGAAGTGTGGGGTAGGTGCGAGTGACGTCAACACCTCCATCCACGCCTGCGTCCACACCCTTAAATTGATCATATAAAAATTATATTAAAGTTGTTCTTCCGTAAGCACAATCTGAAGGCAAATAGCTCCTTGACAATGATTTAACCTGTCAACAAGACAACATCATGTCACGTACACATAAAAAATCATGGGTATGACGTGAAGAAAATTTCATGCATTTTTTTTGTAGACATTCACAGATGGCTACTACATAGTTTTGATCTCAATATTTTGGATTATTATATGTGGAATGCTATTACCAAATAATAATATGTAATGAGATAAAGTTTATTCTGATTTTTTTTTAAATAAAACGTATTTAGAAATTAAAATATCAAATGCAAAGTTCAACCATTTTCTATGAGTCACTTATTATTAATTTCATTCTTGTTAAAGAAAAAACATACGATTTTTTTTAGATTGACATATGTTAATAATTTCAAATGAATAGTGATAAGAACAACTGTATGGAAATTCATTTGCTATTAAATGTTATGTGTAACTTGTAATACAGTTTTACGTGCTTTGATTAATTTTAGTGATTGATTTGTAAATATGGTTATATTTCATATGATTGTTTAATGATAGAGAGATAAAATGTGCAGAGAAAGAGTTTTTCTCGTAAATAATGTTTGTATCAATGCTCAATTTCTAAGTAAATTTTTTTCAATATGCATTGATCTTGAGAAATTCAAGTTCTTTCAGTTAAAAGTTCATTTTTCATTATAATCTTTGAAAAACATCTTCAAAAGAAAGTACGAAAATTTTTATACTTTTAATTTTAAGTGCCTTACATTTATGGAATATTTGATGGAAATCCTATACATTGTAAATCAAAATTATCGATTAAAGATTATTTTAAAAAAAGATTTGTATTCATATCTATGTAACATATAGGATGATCGTCTCATATCATTGGTGTAAATTTTCTTTATTTTATAATTAATTTATACGAAGGCATTCGAATCATCATTTACATTCAATAAATTCTTTTAAAAACTTTCATAACCAATACTTAAAATGTATTGTTGCTATGCTTCAAGTTTTGTAATTTGTAACAATTGAAAATTATTCAAATAGGGACAGAACAGGATTATTTTCATCAGAGATACTATTCAATGTTCTCTTGGTTAGACGTACATCACAAATGAAAACTATTGGCTTTCATATTTGAATTGATAGTGAATTTTTTTGATTATGTCACTGTGTTCGAACTTTTGGATGGGATAATAAAAATCATTGATCAAAAATGTAAAAAGAAACAAGTTCTTGGTAGAATATGATTAAAGTATGGTACCAGTATCGATTATAAACCAGTCTATGCACTGAATTAGAGTTTAACTACGGTGAGTTTTATATCAATCGATAGAAATTTTTACAGGCTAAAAATCTATGTATAATTTCTTAAGAAAAAGCTGTGAATATATTTGGAGTCAAGAAACTTTTGTTCAAATCGGTAAACAACGATATTGTTTGACTGGTATTCAGCGATTTCGGTTATAATAATTATCTTTTCAATTAAAACAGACGGTATATTCGGAGTCACTGTAAAAAATGCTGTCGAGTTATGTATGTTTCAAACATTTTTGACCAATTTTATTTTTCAACTTATTTTTTGTGGCAACTCTGATGGAGGCTCCAGAGGTCCAATTTTGATTCAAAATAAAGGCCGTCAAAAAAGTTTGAAACATACATAGACGAACGCCATTTTTGACACTGATTCCGAATATACTATCTGTTTTTATTGAATAATTATTACAACCGAAATCGCTGGATACCGGTCAAACGATATCGTTGTTTACGTATCCGACTAAAACTTTCTTGACTTCAAACATGTTCACAGTTTTTTTTTCGTAACAAATTATCCATAGATTTCTAGTCCGCAAAAAGCTCTATCAACTGTTATAAGATTCAGAGCGGTTGAACTCTAATTTGATGCATAAGATGATTTATACTTGATCCTGACGCCATGTTTTAATCGTATTCAACAATTGTTTGAACAAGAATTTGATTTTTTTGTTTTTACATTTTTGATAAATGATTATTATATAGATTTTTGAAGTATTTTTCACGGTCAATCTATCTATCTATCTACAATTGTTTGCAAAAAAAATTGCAGGAAAGGAGAAACTATTTTTTAGTGTTTTTATGTTATGTGGAACAATTATTGACATCATTTCTTTAGCACCTGGACGAAGAAATGATCTCATGTTCTTATTAGATTATTGAAGCAAAATAGTAAGATCAGCTAGCCTTGTGAAGCATGGAACAAAGACTTCCATAAGGACTCTGTATTCATAATATCAACAAATTCAAACAAATAAATTTAGTTGATTATCGAAAGAGAAACAGTCGATGATATTCTCTCAATGTCAAAGAAAAGAAAGTTACTCATCAATATATTTGTCGTAATCATTTTTTAAATTAAATTTTATAAAACTAGTGTTTGGAATAAGATCATAACCTCAAATGCATAAATAATATTGATAAACAATTCATTAATAAAACATGCATCTCAAATAAATAGAACTATCAACTAAAAGCCTGTATCTAATCACACAGAAAATATTTGACTAATCATGAAACATAAAGTTAAAAGCAGAAAATTAAACAAAATATCAAAAAAGCTCGAATGATTTTTTAATGAAAAAAATTCTAAGATATGGATATTATTATTTTAATAAATTGTACATTGTCTATGAAAAAGCAATCTTTTTCTGTTATTTCTTTCAAAGATGAATGAGTAAAATTTTTAATTATGATACAATGTAGTACTCTTTGTGAACTACCATGTCCGATGTATTACGTAACAGGTACACACGTCAAGAAACATGTGTAAGATTGAATAATCAAGGATCTTTCTATGTAACACTTAGAAAATTGAAAATGTAATTGAATCTTAGGTCTGTAAACATCTATTAAAATCATACAAAAAATATCAGCTATAATTTTTATCATCATCTTCTTTGTTTCTACACGAATAGATCATTAAAATTCAATTGAGTCAATCTGCCTACAACCTGTCACTCTCCTTTTGACTCTTTTATTTTTCATATACTGAAATCTTGAATCTCAAAAATATTTACATCTATCTGATGATTTAATGATTCCAAATTGTTTTATTTTAAAGACCTCTGTCTTTCCAGATTTTCTGGAGAATAGCTTCTCAGAAAAATTTGAAATTTTCATGGCAGGTAGGTTTTGATGAGTACAGCAAAAGTTATCATAGACTCGAAAATCTGGGATACTGTCTTCTATGAGATATTCGGATCACAATGACGAAAAATGACTCTCGCGTTTCTTCAAGATGCTACGTTCGATCGAACTGAAAATTTTTTTATCGGTACTAGACGCTATTTGTGGTGGGTATTTTCTTTTTCTTTTTTGCTTTTCGAATAAAAAAGCTAAGATATCGAAGGTATCCAAAAAAACGCAGATTTTTTTTTGAATAGAACTACCAAAAATCAGCAGAACAATATTTTTTTGAAACGAAAACAAAAAAATATTCATCAATACACGTGCAAAAAGTTCCAGCTCGATTGAGAAAAACATGAAACAACGTATAGTTTTTGTTATTTTCGTTATATGATTACGACTGATCATTGAATATGAAATCACAACCTAGTAGAAGTTTAGCATAGAAAATGATGAGAAAACAATAAGTTAAAAAATGAATTACTTTATTATAAGTCTTCTTATTATAGTCCTTTCTAAAATTATTTTTCATTATTTTACCACCATACTTGGATGTTTCCTAGAGACTAGTATAGGCTATAGAACAGTATAATATTAGTAACAGATCATCGAATTGGATGAGTGGAAATATTGAAAGAAAATATGTGACATAAATCTTCAAACTTATATATTTCACATAGATAATATCTGACTTTTACAAAAAATTAACATCTTAAATATCTATTAAACATTCTAATTACCAAGTCTAGAAGTACTGTTTCCGGTATTTGTATTTAATGAAAATTATTCAATATTATCGTCTGTTACTATATTAATATCATCATTATCTACTTCTTGTTCGTCGATCCGTTCGTAATTCTTTACATTCTTTCTATAAATTCATAGACCCTTCTAACAAAGGATCATCGTTCATAAACATATCACAGTATTTATGAGCATGTGCAATCAGTTTTCTACTTCTTTTCGCTTGCGATCAATACCAAAACGAAAACCGCGATTACTACTAGCGTTGTCAGAATCAATGTCTATTTCTTCTATTTAACTAAGCGAATAAGAATAATTAAATAAATCATTATTGACAAATGATAGTTGCTATGTATAAATACGTAATAGATCTATAAAACTATAATAAATGCTTGACAGTGAAATAAAACAAAATCAAGATAATAAGACAAGAGACAGCGACAGAAAAAAATAAATATTTATCTATATTTGTTAATAGGTTGTGAGTTCTTGAAGTAAGGTTAATTGAAATGAGTTGCGGCTTCAATATGATCATGGTCATAAAACATAATAAATATCTTTTATTGCATATAAAAGAAACTACAAAATAACTAAAAAAACAGCATAACTGGAAAAAAAATCGAGAGTTCAACCTGAGTTTGAGACCAAAAGACGATAGTCTTTGCATTGTTAATATTCCTGAGAATCTTTTGGAAGATAAGAATGAAACAAAAAAGAAGTTTTTTCTTCACATTCGGGTAAATGGATGATGTAAAAGTGTGTGTATATCAGCTCGCATATGAGGATTAAGTACTAATGTACGACGAAGTACATCATTAAGAGCAGAATCTGGAGGAGGATGTAGTCCAAATGGAGCCATTGCTGCTGATGGATGATATGCCGGTGCTCGACCATAAACCATATAATAAAGAATAGCACCTAATGACCAAATATCTACTTGTGGACCAAAAGATCGCTGCAAACCAGATTTATCTTGCATTACTTCTGGTGCACTTTTAAAAAGAAAATCTAAATATGAAATTTTTCATTGATTCTCTCTAGCTTACCTAAATTGTGGAGTGCCTACACCGGCTCGACTATTTTCAAAGAAAAAAAAAAAAAAAAGGAAACAAATACAATGTGATAAATTGAGAAAAGAAATTCTTTTTACCCTAATGCATTAGCTTTTCTTGATATACCTAAGTCAACAATTTTAAGTGTTCGTCCAAATAAAATTAAATTAGCCGGTTTTAAATCCATATGAACAATTGAATGTGCATGTAATGTAGCAACAATACTAACCATTTGACGCCAAAATCCTTTTATCATTACTAGATCTATAGATGGAACACGAGTTCGATCACTTGCACGAAGTCGATCGATTAATGTCATTAAATTATCTCCACCTAATTCCATAACAATATAACCTAAAAATAAATAAAAACGAAAAAAAAAAACAAACAAAAATTCATTATTATTAATTAACAAAAAATTTTTCAACTTACCTAAACCAATTCTAGGATCAAAATCAAAATCATGAATTACAACAACATGACGTGATTCTATTCGTAATCGTTCGAGAAGAGTAACTTCATTAAGATAAGTTTGAACAAGACTTTGACTACGAAAAGGTGGTAAACCATTTAAATTAATTATTTTAATAGCTACTGGTGTACCCTTAGGACCTTTTCCTGCATAAACATTAGCTAATTTTGTAAAATAAAAAAAAAGAAAATCATTTCTTCTTTATTAATAATTAAAATTATCTTACCGAAACCACCTGTACCTATACGTCGTTGTAATTTATATGGAACACCATGAATATTCATAACACCACCAATAAACTCATCTCCACTGAAAAACTGACTAATACGACCTGTACAAAATAGAATATTAAATGAAAAATATGTTGTTTTTTTTAAATACTTACTGAATATTCCACCCATATGTATTTATTTTCTATTGTTTTAAGTTCTAACGATTATTTTTGCTGTTTTTGTCCTAGAATACGTGTCGATGCCGTTAGGAAAGAAATGCACACCGACAGTGTGTACCAAGGACGAGCGAAAAAGAAAAAGCGACTTGATGTTCCACATGAATGGATCATATTTATATGTTAATATATAAAGGTAAAGGTAGGCAAAAAATTATGCCTTTTTTTTCCGTTCACTATTCAGAAATATTTATTTTAAAATAGAACAATTTACTATTTGATTACTATTAAAAATATCGAAAAAAATATTTAGTATTATCTTGATTTTTAATATGTTCAAATAATATATCACGAAAAAAAAAACTACATTATATATTTATATGGTTAATCAGATGGAATAACATATAAGTACTCGTGTTTTTTTTTTCTTTGTTTCTTATTTGACATTGATATTCAAATATCCTTGAAATACAACGTAAACATCGTTGTATATTAATCGTTGATAATCATTTACTAGTGATTTTTGTTTCATTAGGTTTCATAATATAATTTGAATCAATAAATATTTGAAATCCTGTACAATTTTTTGTCATTATTAATACACATGTTTAATTGATTGCTATGTTAACATGTCGATATTTAGTTAATGAGTGTGATGTTTATCTCGTTTATGTAATATTTTTTTTTTTTTAAATTTATATAATTAATGGAAAAATTGATATTATACAAAAAATAGAAAGAAAGAAATATAGTTTTTGACTTTTTCTTGTCCCTCATGGGTTATCATCACGTGTTTTTTTTTTCGATATATTTTATGAATATATCATACACATAGGAAAAAAGGTAAAGAACGAGAGAAAAAAAAGAATGTATGAATAAAACTGAACTTGCCATTTTTTCTCTTCTAGGGAAGACTCTGTATTGAGTGTAAATATATGCATATATATTCATTCGGTTGTTTTTTGTCAATTAAACGTGTTTGATAGGAAAAAAATTTGCAGAAGAAATTTTATTTTTTCTTTCCCTACTCATTTCTATCTGTTATTAGCACGTCTTACTACCTTGATCAAGTCAATATTCAGTGCTCGATGAATATCTGGTGGCGTTTTTTTTCTTTTTGTTTCATATTTTTATTTATATGATATCATCTATATGATTTAGATTTTTAAATTATGCGAGAATATAAATTAGTCATATTGGGTAGTGGTGGTGTTGGTAAAAGTGCCTTAACTGTACAATTTGTTGAAGGTATATTTGTTGGTAAATATGATCCAACAATAGAAGATTGTTATCGTAAAGTAAATATTTATTTATTGAATTATATAATATAAATAAAAACTATTGTTGTTGTTGTTGTTGTTTTTTTGTACAGCAAATAGAAATTGATGGTGTTGAATGTATACTTGAAATTCTTGATACTGCTGGAACAGTAAAAACAAATAAAAAAAATATTTTTATTTTTTATTGATTTTATTTTTTCTTAGGAACAATTTACAGCAATGAGAGATTTATATATGAAAAATGGTCAAGGTTTTGTTCTTGTTTATTCTATAACGTCACAGGCGACATTTAATGATTTAATTGGTATAAAAGATCAAATTATGCGTGTTAAAGATATAGGTGCTGATATACCAATGGTACTTGTTGGTAATAAATGTGATCTTGAAGATGAACGTGTTGTTGGAAAACATCAAGGTGAATCTTTAGCACGTTCATTTGCTTGCACATTTCTTGAAACATCAGCTAAATTACAAACAAATGTTAATGATGTAAGAAATTTTCATTTTAAACAAATTATATTGATATTAGTTTTTTTTCTTTTTTTTTCTAATATTTAGGTTTTTTTTGATTTAATTCGACAAATAAATCGACAAATTCAACGACCAAAACAATCTAAACAATATTCATCATCACATGATTATAATCAACGAAAACAACAAGATGAACATGGTACTAATTTTCCATCATCACCTCCTGAACATCGTCAGACTGGCCATGTAAAAGATTGTTGTGTTCTTTTATAAAAAATAAAATTCTTTTCTTTTCTCATTTTCTTCTATTTTCAAGTAGTTCAATACGTAATTGAAAATTTTTTAAAAGTTCTCTTACTATACGAGACACTCACATTGACAAGATATCGTTTCATGAATTACAAGGATATAGACATTGATTGACAAAAGAAAAATGTCACAGTGTATTTTTTTTTTGTATTGGTTACAAACAACAATAAGTATTATTTTTCATCATACTTAAATCCAATGTTAGGTTCAAATCTATCGATTCATTATTCATAGTCATCGAATACATATTAAAATAAAATACAATTGTCTTTGGGATTTCTTCAAAACATTTAAAGGTATCATATGATCAGATAAATAAATATTTTATTTTTTTCGTTTTACAATAGGAACATATTGCGAAATAAAAAAAAAACCAAGGTTGCCATGATTTTGTATTTTTGTTTATTCAATAATCAATAAACGTTTTGAATTTATTTCTTACATAAGCTCGAAGAAAGAAAAAAAAAAATAACGTATTTTAATAACAGTTCTTCTTTTCATAACCGGATAAAATAAAGATTAATGAATTATTAATCGAAAATTTGGGTAATTATATCATGACGAAACTCAATATAGAAATATTGTTTTGAATGAAAATATTCAGTCATTCAAGAATATTCCTCGTCAACAGTAATGAATCATCTATATTGAAATCTGAGTTTTTTTCTTTTTTTTTTTTTTTTTTTATTCATACTTTCAATTAATGTCTACCAAGAATATTCTTGTCATCAGAACGATGGAGTGTATTTTTTTACAAAGTAACATAGAAGCGCAATCAACATCGTAAAGCGCATACTTTAAGTAAGAAGAGACAGAACGTTGTTAACAGTAAAAAAAAAGGACGAAAATTATTTCGTTTTTTTTTTTTGAATTCATCAAACAGAGCAACATTTCGATTCGAGTAACATAGTTTATTACTATAGTAAAAAACCGATAATGTCAGAATATAAATTATGTGTCTTTGGATCTGGTGGTGTTGGTAAATCATGTCTAGTAAGAAGATTTTTTATTCAATAATAAATTTCTTTTTTTAATTTGTCCTTGGATTTTATTTACTAGACTATGCAGTTTGTTCAAGGTATTTTTATGCCAAAATATGATCCAACTATTGAAGATGTTTATAAAAAAGTATTATTTACATTATTATTTATTTTTTGTCATATATTTAATTGAATTTAGAATGTTGAAATTGATGGAAGACAATATTCATTAGAAATTCTTGATACTGCTGGAACAGTAAAATAAAAACAAAAAAAAAAAATTTCTATTGAAGAAAAAAAATTTTGCCATTTATTTTTTTTAGGAAGATTTTTCAGCTATGAGAGATTTATATGTAAAAAATAGTCATGGTTTTGTTCTTGTTTATTCAATAACATCTCGAGCAACATTTAATGATTTGGATGAATTTTATAATCGAATCGTACATATAAAAGATACTGAAATTCATGTAGAGTTCAAAATAGAAAAAAAAATTAATTATATTTGATTTAAAAAAATTTTTTTTTAAAGGGTCAACCACCATTGGTACTTGTTGGAAATAAAAGTGACTTAGAAGGTGAACGTGTTGTTCCACGTCAAGATGGACAAGAGTTAGCAAGACGATGGAAATGTACTTTTCTTGAAACATCAGCTAAAGTTCAATTAAATGTTAATGAAGTAAAAGAAATGAAAATAAAAGATTATAAAAATAATTCTTTTCTTTTGTTTGTTTATTTTATTTCAGATCTTTTTTGACCTTGTTCGACAAATAAATCGAACAACAAATAAACAATTTACTCGTTATCAAAGAGAAGTCCACGCAGCACCTAGACAAGGACCAACTAGACCACCACCAATTAATCCTACGTATTCGAACAAA